CTTGAAGTCCAAATACTTAGTCTTTGGCTTTCCTTGGTTATGAAGACAGTTTCACTCAGTGCATTTTTTAAAGCAATGCTGTTTGTTTGCTTTTTCATGTTGTTGCTGTTCCCCAGTGTCCCCCTTCTTTTGCTCTACTATTTCGATTCTTTCATCCACAAAAATAAGGACTGCCCATGCTCTTGCTTCTGAAAATAACATCTGGTATGTGCAAGTAACAAAAAAGCTTGAGAGAATGCCCCAGTTTTTATTTAAAACTCTTATATTTTAACTAGAATGCCGTTAGCAATGATTAGACCAAAAAAATCAGTTTTTACCTTATTAGGAGATTGCTATTTTCAACATTTACCTTAAACCACAATGTGGATTTATCTTCTAACCAGTTTAGCTTCCTGTCTCTCCCCCAACTAGGTTAAACAGTAACTTTTTCAAGATTATGAGTTTTATTTTACTAAAACCCCATTTCCAAACCCCAAGTCTCTAGAAAGGAATACGAAATGTTGCCAGTTTTAAAGTAAGGCCTAACATGTTTTCTAATTTTTTAAGGCTATTTTGATAAAAGTTGGTGTCCTTGAACGAGTACCTTTTCAAAGAGTTCAGGGTATCCAGAAAGTCAAACTATTTTCATGAATGATATTAAAGTATTACTTTAAGGGCCAGTTGTCAGTGGCTCACACCTGTGATGAGATCTGAGCATCATAGTTGAAGATGTCCCCAGAGACTAAATATAGAAGCAAGATAGAGAATCCAGCTTGAGATGAACAATAATTGTGAAATAATATAAAATAGGGGCTGGGAAGGTGGCTCAGTGGTAGAGTGCTTGCCTTGCAATCATGACGCCCTGGGTTTGATTCCTCAGCACCGCATAAGCAGAAAAAGCTGGAAGTGACTCTGTGGCTCAAGTGGTAGAGCACTAGCCTTGAGCTAAAGAGTTGAGGGACAGCACCCAGGCCCAGAGTGCAGGCCCCATGACCAGAAGAAAAGAAAGAAAGGAAGGAAGGAAGGAAGGAAGGAAGGAAGGAAGGAAGGAAGGAAGGAAGGAAGGAAGGAAGGAAGGAAGAAGGAAGGAAGGAAGGAAGAAAGGAAGGAAGGAAAGAAGAAAGAAAGAAAGAAAGAAAAGAAAGAAAGAAAGAAAGAAAGAAAGAAAGGAAGAAGAAGGAAGGAAGGAAGGAAGGAAGGAAGGAAGGAAGGAAGGAAGGAAGGAAGGAAGGAAGGAAGGAAGGAAGGAAGGAAGGAAGGAAGGAAGGGAAGGAAGGAGGGAAGGAAGGAAGGAAGGAGAGAAAAAAAAAATAATGGCACTCTTCCCACTAAATTTTGATTTTGAAAACCATTTTATATGATCTCCATTATTTATATTATTAGAAAGCACTGGATCTATTGTTTCTTGTAAGTAAACTGATACTTATCTTTAAATTTCCTCTATTTTATTTTCTAATATGGCAATATTAGTAGATGTAAGCCACACAATGGATATAAGCCACAAACGCCTGGGTTCTCAGAAATATTAAGACCTGTAAAGGAGTTCTGAAACCAAAGTCTGATTATCCAATTACATAACCCAATACACAGTGCCTTCCATAGATAAGACGCTCTAGTTAAGTCTGCAATATAATTACTTCTTACCCCCTTCCCCCCCTAATCTTGTTGAGTTCTATATCTCCTTGTAAAACATAATTCAGCATAAAGCCAGTCTGTTCTGGGCTCCATTTAATGGGCTTTAGATATTTAATTATTCAGAGTCCTCTTTACAAAGATGTTCTGACCTGTAATACACACCTGTTACTTGGATAACATATAGCAGTTTCTCAACTGTCAGAGAAAATTGCCTTGTTTATACCCTTAGCACCTGTATATGGAAAATCTCTCTCTCTCCCTCCCTCCATTTCCCCCTCTCTCCCACATAGAGTGAAAGTGACACTTCAAGTTAACAGTCCTTGTCCAAGTAAGTTCTACTCTCTAGCTGAGCCCTGATTTGGCCTTTCGCAACATGTTTGGCAGTGTCACTGGAGACAAAAGTGCAAACTCTCAAAAAAAAAAAAAGGGGGGGGGGCATTATTCTCATTGTCCACAGGCCAAAACAAGGATTCTCTTCCTCCCTTAATAACAAAGTAATCCAACGTGGGCTGGGAATGTGGCTCAGTGGTAAAGTACTTGCCTAGCATGCATGAAGTCCCAGGTTCAATTCCTCAGTATCACATAAACAGACAAAGCCAGAAGCAGCACTGTGACTCAAATGGTAAGCAAAGAAAGAAAGAAACCCAACTCATCATCAAGCACAATATTATTGAGTGCTACATTCATAGTCCCTATCAAAATATACATTTGAAAGGGCTGGGGGGCGGGGGGAAGGTAGGAAATGCCACAATGCATGACTTTCTAGGATGATGAACTAGTTAAGGACTCATAGATTTACTAATCACTTAATCACTGAAACAACAGCCAGGCAAGAACAAGATCAAGCTTAATATAAACAGTAGATATACCAACCACAGGTTAAAATGGGAGGCCCACATGAAATAAGTTCAAACTCAAGGGTGTGGACTAAGGAAACCCCACACAAAGCTAGCTACTGGTTGTAAAATTCAAGCAACTGTCAGAGGCCAACTTCGTTTCAGGATACCCTTTGGACAAAAATCACCACCTCCCTTAGGGCTAAACATTACTAGCTGACTCTTATCAGCACAAACCTCTCAGTTGTGCTCCTTTTTTTTTTTTTAACTTAGTAAATTCCTCCTTTTTTTTTTTTTTTTTTTTTTTTGGGTCGGTCATGGGGCCTGAACTCTAGGCCTGGACACTGTCCCCTCAGCTCTTCAGCTCAAGGCTAGTGCTCTACCACTTAAGCCATAGCGCCACTGAGCCACCTTCCCAGCCCATCCTCCTGATTTTCTGACCTCTATTCCACCATCAAGTGAAAGTCCTGACAGACAAGATATCTGCCATTGCATAATTATTGTCTTCTTTTAGATTCGTGTGCCCAGTGAAGCCATTTTTAAGCCTGATGTGATTTTACATCAAGAAAACCAGAAGCAGGCTGAGTGTTGTTCACTCTGTATTCCTGTAGCTTACTACAGATGAGCAACAGTAACGACCATGCCTTGCTTTTCCTTGTGTTCATTTTGGTCATGTCCCCCCCCCCCCAAAAAAAAAACTTTCTTGGAAGAAATAAAAATAATAAGCTACAATTGTAGCATTACAGCTATAGCAAACAACCAATTTATGACACAACTTGATTCACCTTATTTTTGTTCCAGGCTCAACATTCACGGCTGAAGATGTATTTAGGTAAAGAGTTCACGTACACCAGCTTCAGCAGCCTCACAAAAAGAACTGACCAGGCTTGGTGGATTCCTGTAATTCCAGTACTCACGGAAGCTGAGACAGGAAGATCACAAACTTGAGGTCAACCAGTGTCACTCAAGTTTTCCAAGCCAGTCTGAGCCAGATATATAAGGAGACCCTGCCTCAAAAACAAGCCCACAGAATTTCAATACTGGCCTGCAAAGCGAATTAACTGGTTAATGTTTAAAGGCTTGGAGGGAAAGGGTGGGGGGGAGGGAGTAGGAGAAACCGAGCTGACTTTACAAAGGCAAGCAAAAGACCCAACTTCTGAGAGCTCCAGGAAACGGCGATTATTATACTCCTTATCCTGGAGTAGATCTTCCTTTGTGGCTTTCTGTGTCTCTCCAATGGCACCCTCGCCCTTTAAGAAATAACCTGTCAGAAGTGTTCCTGCGTTCCCTAAAAGTACCATCTTCCCAGCTCGACCCACAATGGGGAAAAAAAAAAAAAGGTCACCCGGCTAAAGCAATAGCATCGCGGCTTTTATTATTTAGAAACTGAGTAAGATTTCTGAAGTACACAATTCAAATTTGACACTATCCCCCCCCAGGACACGAACACACACACACACACACACACACACACACACACACACACACACACACACACACACACACACACACACACCAGCTACCAGTGATCAGTTTAAATTTTAATAAACAAAGGCTGCAGCGGCGGCACCAGGGCCCTACCAGGAAGTAACCGGAGCAGGGCGGCCGGTGCGCGCCCCAGTCGCCCGATCAGACAATGAGGGGACCCCCCCCCAGGCTTCCAGGGGGGAGGGGGTGGGGGGAGGCACTGAGCTGGAGTTGAAACGCCTTAAGTTACTCCCACACCTGACATCAACCTCGGAACCGCGTCGGCGACACGACCCACTGGGCAATCCTCGTGAAATGTCCACCCTGCCCCAAAGCGGGTCCTGAAATGATCTCAGAAAAAAGATCAAACTCGAGCCGAGGCGTCTGCTCCAAAAGCAGCTGTTGGGCTCCGACCTCCGGGGCCCCGGGGTTCCCACTGCACCCGCCCCGGCTTCCGAGGGCCCTCCCGGGGGGCTCTGAGGGGGGGAGGAAGGCAGGCAGGCAGGGAACCGCAAGCCGGGCCGAGGCCCGCGGCCCGCGGCCGCCCCGGGGTCTCCGCGCCCGCGCCCGCGCGCCGCAGCCCAGACAAAGCTGCGTCCGCGCGCAGCGGCGCTCGCTCCGGCTCCGGGTCGAGAGGCCGGCGCAGGCTCGAGCGCCCGGCCGGGCCCCGCCGCACGTGTGGCCGCCCCCCCCCCCCGGGGGAGGTGGGGTGGGGGGCGAGCAGAGCCCCGGCGCCGCAGGGCGGAGCGAGGGGGCGCCGGCCTCGAGTCCCGGCCCGCCGGCGCGCTCGCGGGCCCCCCGCCGTCCCTCACGGGCCTCTCCAGCGCCGGCCCGGCCGTCGGGCCGCGGGAAACAAAGGAGCCGCATCCGCTCCCGCCCGCCTGCCTCGCCGCGTCCCCCCCCCCCCCCCCCCCCGCTCCTCCGCTTTCCTCTTCAAGCGCGCCGGACCCCGCTCGCTCGCCCTCGCCGCTCCCCGCGTCCGCGCGCGCGGCCCGCCCGCCCGCTCGCGGCCCTTCGACGGCAGGCCTGGCAGAGCCGGGGCCTCGGGTGCGCGGCCGGCCGGCTCCCGGGGACCGCACTCACCGCTGCAGCACCAGGACGACGGGGAGCCGTTGGGGAACTTGGCGGAGTCCGGAGCGATGCAGACGCTAGAGCTGAGGTGCGGACACTCCATGGCCACGAGTACGGCGGCAGGGAGGACCGAGGCTGCCGGGCGCAGGGCTTCCAGAGGCTCCGTCTGGGGTCGCTTCTCGCCGGGCTCTCGGGCAGACGGCGGCTAAGTCCCGAGCCTTTGCGTCAAAGAAAGCAAGGGCTTCCGGGCGCCGGGTTTTCCCGCCTGCCGTCTCCCGGCGCCCCGCTCCAGAGAACGTGTAATCCGGAACCGGGTTTTGCGTCCGTCTCTAGACTGGAGGCTTCCGCCTTCCCAAGGTGGCCCCGCCCCGCGCAGGCTCCGCCCCCTCGTAGGCCCCGCCCCTGGCCCCGCCCCGGGGAGGGCGGGGTCCCGGCGCGCGCGCGGAGCTCCGTGGAAGTCACTTTGCCAACTCGGTGGCCCCGCGGCTCATCCTGACCCGGGACCGGGGTGGGTACCCCAGCCGGGGGGGACACGCCTGCAGAGGAGACCGGCCCGGTGTAGTGTGTGGTGTTTGATTTCCCGCGAGAGGCTTCGTGGTAGAAAATCTGCCCCCTCCCCGCCTTCCTGCTTAAGGGGAGGGAAGGAAAATAAACGTCGGGACGGACTGGGCTGTGTGGCCACCCCCACTCTGCGCCGGGGTGAGGCCGGGGTGCGCGGCCAGCCGCGTGGGTCCCAGGGCACGGGTGGCTGCAAGTGTGCTCGCTCTGGAGCCGGGTCTGGGTCTTGAACTCGTGGCGGAGCCGGCACCCCCGGACGCGGGTGTGGACCCTGCCACGCGCGGCCTCCTCACCTCCCGCACGTCGGCGGACTTCTTCACGCCTCGCCCGCCGCTGCAAGAGAAGTCATGAGCTTGGGTCTGCGGAGCGCACCCCCCCCCCCACCCCGATGGAGGGGACCCGGCACCTGCTCGGCCCCCCCCCCAGCCGGGCGCTCTGCCCCGCACAGCACCTAACTTAAACCTCGCCACGCACTGCCCGCCGCGGCCACCGCGCCCTGTGCATCTCGGAGGAGAGGGATCGCCCGAGTCTGCCAGCTGCCAATCCCCGCGGATTGTGGATCCCGGGCTCCCCATGTGTTTTTTTTGTTTGTTTGTTTGTTTGTTTGGCCTCCGGGCGCCACTGGGGTCCGGCTTACACCCCAGAGGGCCCGGTGATCTCACCGGGGCACGGCCTTGCGGGTGTCTATTAGACTATTAGGACACACATAGCCTCCAAATTGGGGCTCCTCGAACATTCAGGAAAAGGAGTCACGGGCAGAAGGCCAGCAAAGGGGGTGGGGTGGGGTGGAGATACTGATGTCGCCATCTAGTGAGTGGGGACCAGAGGAGGGTGGTCAGGAAATGATTAACTGGGCAGAGCTGGGTAGTGGTTAGAGCCTGGCTTCTATTTGCCCTACCCTTCCCCTGTGCAGTCCAGGGTCACCCCCTTAGGCGCTCTTCTCTGTGGACTCCACCCCACTATCTAATGGTGTCCACCTCCCTAGGACACCGCTGCCCAGAGTGCTTTGCATTCCTCAATCCAACACACACACACACACACACACACACATCCATGGCTTACCAAATTTATTTGATCGCTGTTGGACCAAAGATTGGATCTGTTCCTGCAGTGGTGAGCAGTGAACTGCACCGGGAGGCAGGCACAGACACCTTAACCCTTGCCAACCTGAGCAAGTGTTTCTAGTCCTCCCAAGCCTTTATCTTCATCTAAAAACTAGAAAAGTAACAGAAGATGTGAGAATTTACATCACACTGTAGGTACTTGAGAAATCATAGGTGTTTTGTGTGTGTGTGTGTCAGTGTCAGTACTGGGCTTGAACTCAGAACCTAAGCACTGCCCCTTTTCATTCCAGGTTACTCCTCTACCACCTGAGCCACACCTCCACTTCCTGATATATATATATATATATATATATATATATATATATATATATATGGTTAATTAATTGGAGATAAGAGTCTCCCAGACTTTCCTGCCCTGACTAGCTTCCAACTGCAGATCTCAACCTCCTGAATAGAAGGGATTACAGATATCGGCCCAGCTTCTGTTTTTCATTTAAGTAACACCAGGTGAGGGCTGCTACCCTGGGAAAAGCGAGGAGGATTAACCGTACAATCTGACCTTTGTTCAAGCTGTTCCACCCTTCTCCTCTAACCTTAAAAGTCTGGCTTAATCAGACCTCTTTCTCCTCTGGACACCTTCCCACTTAGTATCTAGTCCCTCACTGAGCCAAGGAGCATGCGTACTACAACTCTTTCCTACCGGGTAACTTTTTTCCCACCCTCTTATGAACTGTTTGCTAATCTCCTAAACCTCCATTTGAACATCACTTCCTTCTTCCGGCCTTTCTTGATCCTGCTCCACCCTGCCCTCTACTTACCTCCGTAGCTGTAAAGGGATGTGTCACACCCTAGACTTCCCCCGCAAAGCTGACTTTCAAATGTGCCTTAGAGAACATTCTTCGTGTATGTAATTATTTGTTTAATGTCTGTCTTCCCCTTGGAAGGCCCTAATGGTAGCAAACAAGTCTGCCTGGTTTCCTAGGGTCCAGTAAATAAGCATTCCGTAGGTGAGTGAGGATCCAGCAGTGATTTAGCACTGAAGAAGAGACGCTTACAAAAGTGGCCCAGTATATGCCAGGTGTTTAACCCCTTGGAAATAATCTCTACATTTTCTTTCAGTTCTGAGTTCATGTTTTAAAAAGATCGGGGGGGGGGGGGGCAGCTGGTGGCGGCTGGGAAGGTGGCTCAGTGGTAGAGTGCTTGCCTCCCATGCATGAGGCCCTGGGTTCGATTCCTCAGCACCACATAAGCAGAAAAAACTGGAAGTGGCGCTGTGGCTCAAGTGGTAGAGTGCTAGCCTTGAGCCCAAGAGCTGAGGGACAGAACCCAGGCCCAGAGTTCAGGCTCCATGGCCAAATAAATAAAAAGATTGGGAATGTGAAAGTAACTTGTAAGGTGTAAGCTACTTAAAAAAATAATATTTTTAATATATGTGTGTGTGTGTGTGTGTGTATCTTCTTTCCTTCACCTTAATTTAAAAAGCCTCTTGGAACAGGGGTCTTCATTTAGTGGCTCCTGATGGCAGAAATCCCTGACTCTCAGCAGTCAAACCAAAGAAGTTGAGCTCTCCTGGGCTTTAGACACTGCCCTAACACAGCAAGTGTTCATAGCAAAGTGGTGGGGGGGGGGGGGCGGGGGGGGAGGGGTAGATGAGAGCTGGGGGGAAAAAGAAAAAACAAGTAGATGTGTCAAAAGCAGGCAGAGCACGGCACAGGCTAGGAATCTGTCTTTTCAGTAGCTTCCTTCTGCAGCTGCATTTAATACAACGATCGCTTTTTTTGTTCTTGGCCAGCATCGCTCTAGCCCCAAGGAACCCCAGCTAACCAAACCAGCCCACCCTGATTGGTGATGCACCTGGCCCCAGCTCTCGAGCCCTGCCAAAACCTCAGCAGGGCCTCACACATGTGGGTCTGTTTTGGGGTTTTTGTTGTTGTTTTATCTTTGTTTTTCTTTGAAGTGTGCATTTCTTTTTCCCACTAGGGAGAAAGGCACAATTTTAATAATACCAGTTTTCAAAAGTGGTTTTTCTAAAGTGTGTCCACATTCAGGTGGGAGGAGGTGGGAAAGGGAAGGCCAGGAAAGGTCTCAAGGTTACTATGACCTTTCTAAACAAGACTTGAGACTTTTCACTGAAATCTGTAGTCCTTGAGCAAGAATTATAGCCTTACCATCCCTTATTTGGGTAAGGCTAGCTGGAAATACCCACCAAGCTGGTTTAATTATTTACCAGCTACTTTTTTCCCTTGGAACAAAGATTCCTGGGCGGGGAGGTGACAACAGCAACTAAGAGGAGTAATATTGTCCAAGAAGCTTTGTATTCTTTACCTGTAACCTCTTTGTATAACTACTTAATAATAGCAACAAAGTTTCCAGGAGAGACTTGTAACTTTGGTGTGGCACTGGGGAGCAGCCTCTCAGGGACTCCTGCCTGGCAGAATTTTCCTGGCAGTATTTATTTGAAAATTCTTTGTTGACTTGTTTATCTATTGCCAGTCTCCTGGGTGAGAACATGGCCTTGCCAGTGCTATAGCCTTGCCCAATTCCCAATTCTTGGAATTCAGCCTGCTATGTGGCAAGGCCTCTGTAACTGTTCAATGAATGAATAGGATAATTGGGGTATAGTCTTCTCACAAAGACTCTGAGTTCAATCCCAACACCAGAAAAAGAGGAGGGAATAGGGGTAGGCAGAGACTCCAGCAAGCCCTCGCCCTCCCTCACTTTCCCACTCCTTTCCCTGCTAAGAATTCTTCACTGGCTCCCATCTGATAGAATAAAAACTCAAACATGGGTGTTTGAGTCACCAGTCTTCATCCTTTAACTTAAGCTTCTTGGTGTGTGTGTGTGAGGGGGTGGAGGGAGAGAGAGAGAGAGGAAGAGAGAGAGAGAGTGCTTACATTAGGACTTGAACTCAGGCCCTAGCATTCTCTCTTGGCTTTTTTCCTCTAGGCTGGTATTCTACTTCCACCCTTTAATTGGAGATAAAAGTCTCAGAGACATTTCTGCCTGGGCTGGCTTTGTACCAGGATCTTCATATCTCAGCCTGCTGAGGAGCTAGGATTACAGTTACAAACCACTACCAGATTTCTTCTTTAATCACTCTGGGGTTAATATTACCATCTCCATTTTACAAAAGAAAGGGACTAAAGGTAAAGGAGATTAAATTGCACATGTAATTGTGTGTAAGAAGGCAAAGTTCACCCCTCCAACCTGTGATCATCTAAATGATTACACAATATTTTATGGGGAAGCTTAAGATACTAAAGATGAGGAACCACAGAACACTGAGACTTCTGGGTAATTAGAGAATCATTCCTGAATAATTGCTGTATCATCCACATCTTATTTTGCATTGCTTTCACCTATTTTTATTTGTTTAAACCAGTCCTGGGGCTTGAACTCAGAGCCTGGGCACTGTCCCTGAGCACTTTTGCTCACTCTACCACTTTGAGCCACAGCTCCACTTCCAGTTTTTTGTTTATTGTTTTATTTTCAAGTGGTTAATGAGAGTATGAGTCCCAAGGAGACTTTTCTTGCCTGGGCTGGCTTCAAATCATGATCCTCAGATTTCAGCCTCCTGAGTAGTTAGGATTACAAGCCACCAGCGCCCACTTTTTCCTCCCACAGGATCTCACTACGTGGAACCTCTGCCTCCCAGGCACTGGGATTATTGCTTTTCCTTTTATCTCGTGGGGGGGGGGGTGTGGGTGGGTGGGTGTAGGTGTAGGTGTAGGAGATAAGAAGGTTTCCTCCGGTAAAGACAAACTTTGCAGATAAA